TTCTGTGTCTGTGTTAATTGGTTTCCCTTTTCTTTGTTGAAGAGGGTCTGTGCAATCCTTCTGCCTAGTCCGCCATCTTGCCCCGCCTCCTCCACATAGATACATTTTTTAAAAAATTGAGCAAGAGAAAGCAGTGAGAATGAAGCAGTGAGAATATTAGAAAAAATACAAATGTGGAGAGCATTAGCGTTATTGAGTTTGCCCTACCAGGTACCAGGTGCTGTAATGCTATCTACATGCATCATTTTAACCCTCTTACCTTTGTTAGAAGAGGTTACACATGTAGCAGAGGTACCCAGACTTACACAAAGAGTCAGAATTTTGTATAAAACTGAATTGTGTGTTTGTGTCCACAGGACTAAAATGATGATTTCATTTCTTTGTAATTGGCCAGAACTAAATGCCCTAGTCAGCTCTTTGTCATGAATTGAAGGCATGAGTCTCTCACAATAGGAGTATACTGTCCAGTTAAAGTAAGACTCAGTAGTCTGTCCTATTCCTTTTTTTTTTTTTTTATTGTGAGTTGAGTGAAAGTTTACAGAGCAAATTCATTTTCCATACAGCAGTTCATATACATTTTGTCTCATGATTTTGACTGTAATTCCTCACAGTGTAACAGCTCTCTTCCCATTTCTTCCCTGTAGTTACCTCTTCCCGGTGTCCTTCACTCCCAGCCAACCCCAGCTATCTCCCTCTGCAAACACTGCCCTTCTACTCTCCCATGATTGGTTGATCGATCACTGCAAGGAGTGTATCTACCTGATGTAAATATTCACCCCATATGTCTGTCTGTTGTTTGGCTGGAAGCAACAGGAGTGAGTTCAGTTCCAGACCTGAAGGATAACCAGGGGCCATAGTCTCAGGGGTCTCACCAGCCTCGATCAGACTAGCAAACTGGTCTTTTTTTTTATGATTTTGAGTTTAGTTCCACATTGTTCTCCCATTCTATCCAGGATCTCCAGCACTGATCCCCCTCAAGAGTGGGTGACAGTGATAGCCAGGCACCACTAGTTTTTCTGGGCTCATGGCTTGTAGGCTGAGAATTGTGTGGTCTGCTAGTTCTTTGGACTAAATGTTTCCATGCATCTTTGGATTTCTTCATTGTTCTTTGCTCTGGATGAAGAGAGTCCCATCGTTGCATCTAGATAGCCACTTGCAGGCTTTTAAGACCCCAGTTGGTACTCAACCAAAGTAGAATGTGGAATAATGTTTTTGTGTAGTGAGTTATGCCAATTGGGGTTGATGTCTCCTGCAACCATGGTCCCAAGCCCAAAGGTCCAACTACTCGCTCCCTCAGGGTAGCTGGCTATGGCCAGAAGCCACTACAGCCTTGCCTCTTGTCAGCTCTACTGTATACCTGGACGTTTTTACAGCATATACAAACCAGACAATGGGGACAATCCCCCGTGCCTAGACATACCTGATCATTCAGCCTGTCCACCCATCTATCCACCAGTAGATCAATACTTACCATCACTGACAACGCAGTACTGTATGTGCAAAAGGGTTCATCTTTGTTGTGTGTGCCTCCCATGTACCACTCTATGTCTTCCTCTTCCTCAGTGCCACCGTGCTGATCATTTTTTGTACATTGTCCTTCCCTTTACCCAAATCAATACTTGTGTTTATCTATTTAGCAGTGTTCCCTCCTGTCCCTGGTAACCAGCAAAGTTTTCTTCCATATATAAACCTTCCCTTGACTTATACAGTAGTGAACCAATACAATATTTGTCCTTCTGTGATTGACTTATTTCATTCAGCATAATGTCCTCCAAGTTCATCCACATTATGCAGTGTTTTGCAGATTCTATGTTATCTTTCAGGGTTGCATAGTATTCCATTGTATGTATATGCCATAGTTTGGTTATCTATTCTTCAGTTGATGGGCGCCTAGGTTGTGTCCATCTTTTTGCTATTGTAAATAATGCTGTGATGAACATGGGTGTGCATATGTCTGTTCTTGTCATGACTCCCACTTCTTTAGCCTGTATACCTAGTAATGGAATTGCTGGGTCAAATGGTATTTTTAATTCCAACTTTTTAAGGAAGCGCCAGAGTGCTTTCCAGAGTGGTTGTATCATTTGACAGTCACACCAGCAGTGTATGAGAGTCCCAATCTCTCCACATCCTTGCCAGCATTTCCTATTTTTTGTCTTAAAGAACTTTGCTACTAGTGCTAGGGCAAGAAGGTATCTCATTGTTGTTTTGATTTGTAT